TCGACGTCGAAAAATTGTGGTCAGAAGGTGGCCACGAAAACCACACTTCAACACGTTCTCAACGTTTGTTCAAATTGTAACGTCAAACACAGAAATATTCGATAATTCTATGGTGAATTTTTTTTTTATTAATAGTTTAACGTCGCATCAACTACATGGTTATTAGCGACATTGGCACAATTAATAATACTTATAATAACTTATTGAAAAGTCCAGTTTCTCTAAGAAATGAGAGTACGCTCCGCATTTTATGACCGACGAGGTTGTCTTCGAGCTCAGGTTCCAAACTATGTTGTATACGGGGCCTGTTGTATTTGGAGCAGTTTATCATGAGGTGTTCAATCGTCATTCTCTCAGAGCACTTATCACATATAGGTGCAGGGTCTCGTAACAATAAGTAAGAGTGAGTAATGGTGAATTTGTTATTTTACAGTATTTCAAATTAAAGTTATTAGGGTTCTTTCGGTATAAACATTGAGTTGCATGTTCAAAGTATTGATCATCAATGACCATCGCGTCGATCGTGTTGAAGAAATTACTTTAATTTATAGCTTATCTATTCGTTTATACAGCCTGAATAAAGAATCATAGTAGAAATCTACGTAAAAAAATAGAAAGTTAAAAGTATCAAGCAACTGACATCTCCGAAATCCATGATTTTCTCCCACGCTTTGCACAACTCTTCCTCGTTACTTCGAATAATCTCCTCCGTTCGTTTTGTGTGTTTTACGTTTAATTTCTTGCGATTGCGTAATAACATGGAGGCTAGGTTTAAACACCACCTATGGCAGTATCCCGTCATTACGCAAATTATTCTTTACACGAAAACGAATGTACACTTTGCTTAAGTACATAATGAGGATGTTTAATAATACATCACCGATGTTGCAACACCAAACACACGTAACATCCAGCAACGAGACGTAGAGAATATATGGATTTAGAGAAAGAAATGAAATCATAATGGGGAACGGAATCAGAACGAGCGTAATCAGCACGCCTGTAATAGTCTTCGCAACAGGAGTCTTGCCATTAAAGTTATGAAATCGACTTGCTCTGATCCAATAAGAATACGTTCTTAAAATTGCAAAAGCTGATCTAAATATTTTATAAATTAATAGAAGTACAGTTTGAGAGGGGGAAAGCAAAGTTTCGATACGATTTGATTTGTTCTGAGAAAGTTGCCTCGCCAGGAATGCAGACTTTCCAAACGCTTCGGTAAAATATAAGGTTTATATGGCGGTATAGTGTCGCACTGTCTGAACGGTTTATCTTCCTCGCGATATCTTTATTTTGGCAAGTCGGAGAACCACGCCTCTTAATCTCGCCTCGTTGACAGTAATAAAACAGTCGTACGAACGATACCAGCTCGCAAACAGCCAACGCCGTGATCTCCCATGGATCTGATGGCAGTCCGCGATCCATCAGTGTTCATTGTTTATCGACCGACGCTATGAAGCATAAGATACTACGTACCGCGGGCAGAGACACAGAGAATACTGATAAATAAAACAGTTCGATGTACCACGATATTCTTGAATAATCGTCCAAACTATTATCTAAACACAACCTTTTCAAAGATTTACGTATGTACGAGCTTAACATTTTTATCCCATTTTAAATATATTTAAAAGAACTTGAACCCTTCTAAAATAAATACCCCTGATTGTTTTCGCGGACAAAGATTCTTCGACCGTAAGAAGTCGTTAATTAATGTTGCATCCTAACGGGTTAATATAGCACTTCGATACCTGAAGATATTTAAGAAAAGAGGGTTTTTGCAGTTTCCTTGATCTCGTTTCGGCGGAATTTATCAGGGAGAATCGACGACTACCAAAATTCGGAGCGCCTGTATCGGTTCCTTTACACTTCCAAGTAATTACAAGAGAAAGGCTCGAGATATCGCGATACACGACCACGTGTATTTCCATTCGATCGCGGTACAAGCGCGAATCGCGGTACGGAGACAAGTTAACGAGATCACGGCAGACACACCCCGGCGATTAGTCACCGCAGAAAGGACCGACGTGTCAATTCGGTCGATGTAACAATGATAAATGCAGTTCGTTCGAGACGCGGAGGAAAGAAAGAAATTTTATCGATTCGATTCTTTCGATGTCACCGTACGATAATGCCGCGAGCATGCCGACTGCAACAGCGCCTGCCTTTTATCTGCGCTCGAGACAAGTAACGAACGCGTGATTAGAAACGAGCGAAGGCTTTGTAACCCCTTTCGTGTAAGCGATACCCAACATACATTACTCGTCCGTAGAAAACTGCATAGCGTTAGTTTTAGCGTCGCCAATCGCGTCCCAGTTACAGCCAGTTCTTCCCTTTGCAACGAAGTCAGTAGGCTACTCCCGGTTTCTAAAGTTGCAATAATTAAAACTAGAAATTTTATCGCGCGAATTAACGTGCGTAGCGTAAAATTTTTTATTTTTATAGTTTGAAATATAATTAATTAAGAAAATAAAGGAGGTAGAATATTTCGAGGAACGTTTTAAAATAGGATAACTAAATGCTGGATTAGATTTCTGTTAAAAATGGAAAATCAGAAATGCGTATCGTGTCTAACGAACTGCTAACGAGCGAGCCAGAAGGTCTCGGAATAGGAATAAAAGCAATAGAAATTTCCAATTAAGACACGGAGTAACCCCAATTGATGGAGGAGTCTTGGGCTGCTCGTTTGGCAGGGTCGGCTTCTTAAAAGGAGACAAAGAGAACCGATACTATAATAGGAATTAAACTTCGATAGGCGATCGATCAAAATTCGCGCGAACTCATTAACGGCGCGGACAAACCGTGCAATTAACGGCTAATAACGCGGCTCTATTAACGGGTTAATCGCGTCCAGCGAAACGGTGTATACCCAGAAAACCGGTTCCGTTCCTCGTAATTCGTTCGCGCGATTTTTGCCAAAACCGTCTCGCACGAGCACGTATCGGCACACTTGGCGAATCGAACTGCACCTCCTTGAACGTAACAGAAAGGACATTCTTAAGGGATCACGGTGTAAAAACAGAACCACGCGACCGGGTTAACGGACCCGACCTGTACGCGAAGTCTTAATCCATTCGTTGCCACGTTATTACGTCGTTGTGTCGAAATTGTTGCATACGTTCGGCTCGTTGAAAAGGACACAGATCGAATAGCGAAAGTCCTCGTTTGCCTCGTTCAATTTCTGAAAGACGCAATCCACTTTCGCAAGGATACACTTTCATAATGTCAATTGTGCCTTAAAGTGCCGCTCGACGTGGATATATATCTTTGATCTAATTATCGATGGACGAAAATACATTGCAGTGTTCACTGGCGGATGTCAACCTTGTTAGAATTCACAAATCTTATTCTGACAATTAATATTTTTAGTCTAATAGTGGTAAATCCTGCCACAAATATATGTCGCCTACCGAAAACTTATTCTTCGAGTGAAAGTAGATGATTTAACTCTCCGAGGACGCTGGGGTCGAGTATTTTAACATCCTTTTCAAAAGGAGTCAGGAAATGGAGTTGATCCACTCCAAAAATGAGAAACACAGATTCTTGTTTCTGGCCTGTTTAAGAAAACAGCACAACAAATGATTGAAAAGGTTCGTGCACGTACGTTTTATACGACGTGTCTCAGACAGTTACTCGCCACCTGATCCTGCACCGTAATTTCTTCGTTCTGATGAATATTAAATATTCCGGCCCGTTTAACGTCGTTGCCGAACGTCGTGTTCGAGGTGCTCTTCTCGGGAGCATCCCACACGTCTTTCTCACCGGCAGACAGCATGGTACCTCGAGTATCGCGCCCGCGACGGGGGAGGAACGCGGTGAGACAGGGTGAGAGAGGCCCCTCGTGCGAGAAACAAAGACCAAAGGAAATAAGCGGGGACGAAGCGCGAGGAATGCTCGACAATCACGATCGACACGATCGTAGTGGTCTGGTCATTGAGGTGCCCGGAACGCCGGCACGATACGATTGTAATTAATAGACCGAGACCCGTAAGGGATGACCCCGACGAGGCGGACGTAATCAGGCTGCTGGTTGGAAGGGAGGGCTCGACGAAACCCTAGTCGACGTCATTTGTTTAAGTTGATCGTTGGCCGTCGCGGCCGAATAAGGCAACCCGTGTTCGCCACTCCGCGGGGAGTGCGAAAGAACAAAGAAGGAGCCGTGAGGCGGCCGTAGAGAAGCCTCCGGGATGAGAACGTGGCGCAGGGAAGAGATGACGGAGGAAGAGAGAGGACCAAGGGGACTGGGAAGAGCCAGACACCTGCTGTTCGCTGGCATTGTCTTCCTCTCTTTTCTCCCCTTTGGTTTCGCTCGTCCTTTATCTTTCCTGCTCCGTCCCTACTTCTTCTCGTTCTTCGTCGTCTTCTTTGGATCCGAACAATCCGCGAGACCCTTCGGCGGGAATGTAGGTGAGCCCTCGGCCGAGGCGACGACAAAACAATTGCCGGCGTAAAAGGCGAATAGACGTTTTTTCGCGATCGGCCGCTCTATTTCCAAATCGAGGAGCACCGACCGTGTATGGGAATCGATCCTCGCCGCGCGAGGCCCTGGGAAAACGGCACCCCGCCCGTGCAACCGTCGAGTGTCGCTCATTCTCATCGCGAAAGCGTCGAAAAACACCAGCAGAAATTGTTATGCGTAAATAACTTCTCTGTTCTTTGTTTACTGTACCTTCGTGATGGGTTCCCATGTTAGACAGACACGAATACTAACGTAAACTGCGGCTGTGAAAGCTTAAATCTCAATGCAAGTTCCCATGTTGAAACTATAACCTCATTCATTCGATTATCACAATTATTGACTAGAAAACTACTTCTGAAATTCGCTGTAAGGGATTGAAATCAACCCTCGAAAACTCCACTGTTTCAAGTTTGTCAGATCTCAGTTAAATTTACGATTTATCCACAAAATCGTAGCGATACAAATGCAACCATTTTATAATATATTTTGAATATTCGTGTATCGTTGTTGCGTTTTTAACGAAGCGTCGTTTGGTTTTCAGATGCGAAACATCCTCGTGAGACGAACCATGCAAGGGACACGGTGAAGCGACAGCGATGGCAGCAGCGGGAACGCGACTTCGAGGTTCTCCGGGTCTTCTCCTTGCTCGTGACAGTCGAAGGGGGCACGAAGAAGTGGGAATCATTCTCGAGATCACCTGGGCAAGGTCCATGGGTTCGTAGAGGGCATGAGAGCTCATCATGTTCGAACACCGACACGGGCCACGAACGCTGTCGACCTGCAACCTCTTCGGCGTGATACTTCTTCTACTGATCGTCGCCGGCAGCTACGATGTGTCAGCGGATTTTAGCTCCGAGTTTGTCAAAGGGAAAAGTGAGTTCTGTCTCGTGCAGCGAGAATGTCTCGATCGTTCTCCGGTGGTGACACACGTGAGAACGAACGATTCTCATTATCTATCCGTAGATCAATATCTTTTACTTCGAAATTATGATACAGTTATCAGTTTTGAAACGTGCTGTATATAAAGTGTTTCTGAAAGGAGTTAACAGTACTCGTAGATATCCTCGCGGTATTTCCCGTATAACGTTCTGGTATCTCGATACGAGACAGTTTCATACCTTTCAGAAGTACTCGATATTTCACCACGGACGTTTTGATCACCGTACCGATCGAATATTAGCCTGGGAGTTTGCCGTTTGATCGATAAGAAGCGACGGAGATGCGTCTACCGGTACCGATATCCTTCGAACGGAATCTTAGATCTCGTCCGGCTACGGTGGACCGCGCGTAGATCATCGACGCCCGTCTAGAAAAGTAGAAAGTAAAGCGTTGCGCCGGGTTTACGGCCGCGTGGGTGGCTGTTCGCCTAGCCGAAGGGTTCGTTATTCTCGAAGTACCTGGAAAGTACCGTTCTTCCCACACGATGAGGAGGAAACTCTTTAAATCTTTCGCTCCGTTCCGTCGTGCCTTCGTTAGGAAACGTTTTACGCCATCGCGCCGTTGGTTTTTGGAACGCGCGCGTAACAACAGGATCCCGTACGATCGCGGTGGTTCGTGCTTGACCCACATGAAACTTTTACCGACTATCGAGACCTTTCCCCGTTTACTTTTACTGGGCTCTCTCGATGGCTGTTGGGCGGTAACTCAGTTTTCTGGACCACACGCGGGATTCCCCGCGTGATATACGACCCCGCCTCGAAACTGTACGTGTTTCGAACTTTATGGCGTTTCGTCGCGCTCGATTTTTACGGTAAAAACAACTTGCGTTGCGGCTATTGTGTAACCGGAAAGAAAAAATGGTTTATGGGAGTAACCGATTGCATTGGGTTGGAACGTTCGTCGCGTTTCTCATTCATAAAAGAATATTGAAAAACGTTCATTATTCTATTCGTATAATACATGCGAGTTTTAAATAATAATAAGTCACGTGAACACACTGATAATCAGTAACCATTGAACAAATGGACGTCAGTCGACGGTCGAGAAACGTTGTACGGGACGTCTTAATTAGTTAAGAGTGTATTGACCTAACGAAACGAATAAACAGCAATTTCCATCGAACGTATCGAATGCTCGAGTTAGAAAGTCTCTGGGCTCATCTCGGAGCTAAGGACACGCCTCGTCACGCAGATAACCACCCAGGATCCTTCGAAGCGCCGCAATTCAAAGAGATATCACCTAAAGTGGTCTCCATAAAGGTTTCCATTAACATGATAAGAGGAGGTTGATACCTCCGTGGCCATTAAGCGACGGTAACTTACGCTGTGTCGCGCTGCAGTCTCGATTTCCTTCGATCGTTTTTTCGTTCGGTCCACCGAGCGAGAAGATACGCCCGACGTTATTGCCAAACGATACTCAACGAAGGCAGAGGATTTTTCTTACGGGGATTAAACCCCGTGGTCAGTTAATCGTTGCACTTTATCGTTTCGAGCTTTTAACGCGTATCGCGTTTCGGAATGAAGCGTCAATTAACACCGTCGATACGGCATCTGTCTTTCGGTGAGAACGTGGAAATATGCTTTGGGAAGAAACGTCTTCATCGCTGGCGTTTCACTGTTTGGTAACTAATCGATCCTTGTTCTCAACTCAACAATCCTTTTGGACTCATATTTTCAATTTTTTTAATATTAGCCTTCCTGTTCAGCTCAACGTAATTTCTATGGAAACATTTTCTTCATTTATGTTTAGAAACTCTTTATTATAATAAAAATTGACCAGAATGTCAGTTTATTTGTACACATAGCTGCATGCTTTCTTACAGAGAATGATAAGTTGAATCAATTAAAAAATACACGATTCCAATGTCAACAACGACCGTCTTTAAACCATTTAAGTTCTATCCCAAATCTTTATCCAAACTTAGACGACTCCCCCTATCATCTACCAAAGGATATTTATACGGTTCTAATAGGTAATAATTTTCATTTTTCCCTGGACATTCCCAACATCCCCAACGTGACCTTGAATGACCCCGTGCCATAGATCGTCAAACTCGTCTTTCCGCTTCGAGTCATCGAACACTTTCACCACCGTATCCACGCAGCATGAAAATAAGAAACGAGACTTGGACTAACGTCGTGAATAGAAGGTTTTCTGTGCAATTTTGGAGTTAACGAAGACATCGTTTCCACGTCCGATAAAAACCAGTCACGGTCGTCGGAAGTGGCCTTTTTGTCCAGCGATCGATTCCGCGGCGCTTTCAGTCACGTTCGCTTTTACATTAAACGAAATTCGTGCATCGGTTTTTACGGAGACGGTGCGCGTCTTTGATCTTGTCGCATTAATTCTATCGGACTGGCCTCAACTTTCCCCTTAAGTAGGCGCTTGATACGTCGTCGATCTTCCGGATTACCCGTCGTGCCTCGCGTATCGTCTCCGGACGAAAAACACATGTCCGCTAACAGCGACGCTACCTCTCGATGTTTATTATCGCGCGGATAATCGTTCGGGCTATCAAAAGCTAACCGCGACTTAACGTTAATCTCGGTATTCGAATTTACATCTTTTATACCTCTCGACTTTATAGCTCCTTCTACCAGGCGGATCTTTGTGTAAATTAGCTATTAAAATTTTGTAACGCGCGATAAATCGTCCGGATCCGAGCGACAGTCTCGAGATCAGATCGCAGAAAGAACAGTCAATACCGTCAAATGAATAAATATGAGAGTGAATTGTATTAATAACGAAAGAATATTCTTAATCCATTATCGATGGAAATCTCGAGCGCCAGGATCGTAAAACGATTGATTAACATCATACGTTTCGAACGCACGAAAATCTCGTTTTATCATTCTCGTGCCAGGGCGAAGTAAAACTTCGCTCTTTATTGAAGCAACAGTCCATAATTTCAAGTTGCGCTATAATAAACTGCAGCCTTTCTCTCGCGGCCGACCCCACCGCGCGAGTCACGCTAATTTCACTCCTGACCCGTGACATTTCGCTCGATCTCGCAACTTAGCCACGAGAGTCCCCTTTATCCTACACCTGAACCTTCGTTTATCGGTTATCAGTTGCAATCGCGATTACTTCTTGGGTGGCTCTCGTTCGGGGCCCCCGCGTTCCCCCGTTTTCGGGCCACGTCGGAAGAATAGGAACACGGGAACGAGAAATAAGAGGATATGAGAGAGGCATAAACGCGACGCGAAAGATAACTTCGTGTGCAATGCCACTGCCTTGGACAACTCTATCGACGTGTATGTGCAGGATCGGGTAGGGACATCTGGGAGGCATGCCTTAATTGACCGCTCGGAATATTGACGAGATCCCAGAGACGGATTGAGACGTTGAATTTCCGAGGGACGTTCGCTTTTTTTGCCCGCCATGAAATATGACCGTTCAATATGCTAGGCAGATATTTATGTACTCGTGGGATTGCGCCCGATGTAGGGATCCGAGGAGATCGGGACAGGTTCGGACAGTAGAAAGCGTCCTTTTTATTTTTTCCCTTTGCTTTTTAAGCGTCCCCGGACAGGATCCCCGGTGGACGGTCCGCTGTTTGTCTTCCCGGTTATCGGCGAATGCTCGTTACGAAGTTTCGAAAACGTGCGCGCGATCCACGACTCGCGCCCCTCGAAATCTGTCAAATTAATTTTGCGCGAGCTCCGGATCCCACTGGACGTTCGCAAAGATTCCGCGCGATATTGTCAACTTGAATTCTACGGTACCACGAACTTCATCGATAAAATTTCAATACAGAATTTCTTGGCTCGTTGGAACCAGGAGCAATATTAAATTGATTTGTTCGATGAATCGTCTTGCTTCATTTGCTCCTGTTCGCTAAATGTGTACAGTAGTTTGGATACAATGAAGTCCAAGTCGTATCTCGATAAATAAACAGTGTTATAAAGAATAGATTACGGATACTATACGGTTCCAGGAAACCGTAGAAATTTTATTTGAAACAATTCTTCGTGAAGCAAATAATTCATGAATTATTTAAAGCGATTCTATTGTGAGTTTCACCCTGCAGGTGTCTGACAGCAACGATTCTTAAGACCAATATCCCCGCAATTGAAAAGGACATGTTCAAGAATCGTTACTGTAAATCTTAATAAATTCAACCTGTACATGATTTGGAAAAGAAAGATTTTGACATCTACCCCCGTTTAAATTATATCTAAAAAAGGTCTGTAACGCTAAGGACGGTCGTAACTAGGTGCCTGCCAAAAAATATCGACGAACGAGAAGCCTCGTCTCTCTTTTATCTGCCGTGGAAGTTTCGTGTCGCTGATGAGCAACCGGTCGAGTCGGTTCGCCGTAACTGCTACACCGTGGCTGACCGTTCGACGGAAATAACAAACGCTGGCGGTAATCGCCGTTAAACTTCAACCACCGGCCAGCATTTCAGCCGGCTATCGCATAAATGCCATTCAAAGTTTAATCGCATCGATTACAGGACCGAGGTATTTCCGACCGCGGCAATAAACGTCCAGCTCCGAGGCGTTGTTTCTCTATTATTTAGCTAACATCGACGTCGTTGCGCGCCGTCCCCATCGACCGTTAACCGCGCGGCGATACATCGCGTTGACAGAATTAGTTAATTGAATCCCCCCAGGTTGGAGCGGGCACGCGTGCCCGTTGCGCGAATGGTTTGTAAAGTCGATTCAATTAAACCTGAATTCCACGAAGCAATTTGCCCGCCACGTACCGCGGATGGGGCGAGACTTTATTAATTATTTTCACCCGATGCTCTTTCGCAATTTGCCCCGAGGGGGGTAAACGGCATACCTGGTCGATATCCCCGATTCCGACGGTAACAGGTGCTTCCACAGGTGCGTACTAATAATGGATGAAATCGTCTCGTTCGTTCCTCTTACCTTCCTGATCGATGAAGAAATTGACTCGTGTGGGGGGAGCATTGTAACCGCTTTAAC